AAAGATTACTGGGATTGGTTTTTATGTTTATGGTTATATAAAGATTACTGGGATTGGTTTTTATGTTTATGATTATATAAAGATTACTGGGATTGGTTTTTATGTTTATGGTTATATAAAGATTACTGGGATTGGTTTTTATGTTTATGATTATATAAAGATTACTGGGATTGGTTTTTATGTTTATGATTATATAAAGATTACTGGGATTGGTTTTTATGTTTATGATTATATAAAGATTACTGGGATTGGTTTTTATGTTTATGATTATATAAAGATATACTTAAATTAATGTTTATGTTTCTGAGCCACTTACACATATTTTACGTACGCGTGTCCATCAACTGTCTCATTGCTATTTCCAAGCCTTAGATATGTCTACCATGTAGTTAACTACTATCTTTAGAAACGTCTACCATGTAGTTAAATACTAACCCTAGAAACGTCTACCATGTAGTTAACTACTATCTTTAGAAACGTCTGCCATGTAGTTAAATACTAACCTTAGAAACGTCTACCATGTAGTTAAATACTAACTTTAGAACGTCTACCATGTAGTTAAATACTAACTTTAGAAACGTCTACCATGTAGTTAAATACTAACTTAAAAACGTCTACCATGTAGTTAAATACTAACTTTAGAAACGTCTACCATGTAGTTAAATACTAACTTTAGAAACGTCTACCATGTAGTTAAATACTAACTTTAGAAACGTCTACCATGTAGTTAAATACTAACCTTAAAAACGTCTACCATGTAGTTAAATACAAACTTTAGAAACGTCTACCATGTAATTGTTTCTAAAGTTAGTATTGTCTACCATGTAGTCAAATACTAACTTTAGAAACGTCTACCATGTAGTTAAATACTAACTTTAGAACGTCTACCATGTAGTTAAATACTAACTTTAGAAACGTCTACCATGTAGTTAAATACTAACATTAGAACGTCTACCATGTAGTTAAATACTAACTTTAGAAACGTCTACATGTAGTCAAATATTAACTTTAGAAACGTCTACCATGTAGTCAAATACTAACTTTAGCAACGTCTACCATGTAGTTGAATACTAACTTTAGAAACAACTTTAGAAACGTCTACCATGTAATTAAATACTAACCTTAGAACGTCTACATGTAGTT